GTATGCTAGAGTTTGCTAGAGGTCCACTCCAGACCCGTTTGCCTGTATCACCAGTGGAGGCTACAGAACAGCAAAGATTGCTGCCTGTTCCTTCCTCTGGAAACTTTGTTCCAGAAGGGCACCTGCCAGATGCCAGCCAGAGGTCTCCTGTATGAGGGGTCTGTGAACCCCTGCTGGGAGGTGTCACCCAGTCAGGAAGCCCAGGAGTCAGAGACCCACTTGAGGAGGCAGTCTGTCCCTTGACAGAGCTTGAGTGCTGTACTGGGATATCCACTTTCTTTTCAGAGCCAGCAGGCAGGAATGTTTAAATCTGCTGAAGCTGCGACCACAGCCACTTTTCCACCAGGTGTTCTGTCCCAGGGAGATGGGAGTTTTATCTATTAGCCCCTGACTGGAGCTGCTGCCTTTCTTTCAGAGATACCCTGCCTGGAGAGGAGGAATCTAGAGGGGCAGTATGGCTACAGATGCTTTGCAGAGCTGCAGTTGGCACTGCTTAGTTCAAACTTCTTAGCAGCTTTGTGTCACTGTGAGGGGAAAATCGGCTACTCAAGCCTCAGTAATAGCCGACATGCCTCCCCTCACCAAGTTCAAGCATCCCAGGTTGACTTCAGATTGCTGTCCCCATGGAGGTGGGATTCACTGAGGTAGACCCCTTGGCTTTCTGGTTTAAGCCTTCTTTCCAGGGAAGTGAACAATTCTGACTTGCTGGCATTCCAGGCCCCAATGGAGTATGAAAAAAACTCCTGCACCTAGCTCAGTGTCTTCCCCAAATGGCCGCCCACTTTTGTGCCTGAAACCCAAGGCCCTCATGGCATCAGCACCCAAGGGAATCCCCTGGTCAGTGGGTTAGGAAGACCTTGGGAAAAGCATAGTTTCTGAGCTGGAATGCACCATTCCTCACAGCACAGTCTTTCACAGCTTCCCTTGTCTAGGAGATGGAGTTCCCCAACCCCTTGCACTTCCTGGGTGAGACGATGCCCCACCCTGCTTCAGCTTGCCCTCCATGGGCTGTACCCACTCTCTAACCAGTCACAGTGCGATGAGCTGGGCACCTCAGTTGGAAATGCAGAAATCACGTGCCTTCTGCATTTATCTCACTAGGAGCTGCAGACCAGAGCTGTTCTTATTCGGCCATCTTCTGGCATACACCATTTTACTTTTCTTTCACAGCATAAAAATCTTCAAAAAATACTAGCTGAACTGAAATTTAATGTAAGAATGCAAAGTTGGTTTCACATTTTAAAATCAAGGAGTATAATTCAATATGTAGAGAGAATAAAGGAGAAAACCAACAAGATCATTTCAACCAGTGTAGAAAAGGCATTTGACAAAATTCCACACTTTTTCATAATTGAAAAAAGAATATCTAAAAAAGTAGAAATGAAAGAGAACATCCTCAGTGTGATAAAGTAAACTACATCTAATATACTTAATAAGGACATAATGAACATGTTCTCCCTATGATTAGGGACAAAGCAAAGGTATATATTCTCATGATTTCTATGTAAGATGTGCTGAAGGCCCTAGCCATTGCAGTAATGCAAGAAAAAGAAATGAAATGTACAAAGTTGAAAAAGCATAAATAAAACAGTCTTTATTGACTCCATACATGATTATTTATGTATAAAATCCTCATGAATCTACAAAACAAGTACTAGAACTCAAGAGTCAATTAATCAGGGTCATAGGAAACAAGTGCTATATAGAGAAATCAATTGTATGTTTATATACTAGAAGCAAATGATTGGGAAATGAAATTTCAAATTCATTTTCAATTGTGTCAGAAGGCAAAATACTAGGAATAAATTTTTTTTTTTTTTTTTGAGACGGAGTTTCGCTCTTGTTACCCAGGCTGGAGTGCAATGGCGCGATCTCGGCTCACCGCAACCTCCACCTCCTGGGTTCAGGCAATTCTCCTGCCTCAGATTCCCAAGTAGCTGGGATTACAGGCACACGCCACCATGCCCAGCTAATTTTTTTAATATTTTTAGTAGAAACGGGGTTTCACCATGTTGACCAGGATGGTCTTGATCTCTTGACCTCGTGATCCACCCGCCTCGGCCTCCCAAAGTGCTGGGATTACAGGCTTGAGCCACCGCGCCCGGCCACTAGGAATAAATTTAACAAAAAATGTGCAGGGTTTCTAAAGTGAAAACCATAAAACATTAAGAAAGAAATTAAGCAAGGCCTAAATAAATGGAGATACATATCATGTGAGTAGACATGATTGATATCATTCTTCTGAAATTGATCTATAGATTCAACACAATCCAAGTTAAACCCTCAACACCTTTTTTAATAGAAAATTATAAATGTATTCTAAAATCTATATAAAAAAGCAAAGGCTAAACAAATCTTGACCAAAATTAAGTTGAAGAGTTTCTTCACCTGGTTTCAAGACTTACTCTAAATCTATAGTAATCAAGATAGTGTATTATTGGTATAAGAATAGACGAACAGATTAATGAAAAAAAAAAAAAGAATCAACAGACAGTCCAGAAGTACAACCTCACACACATATATTTATGATCAGTTGATTTTCAGTAAAATACCAGGGCATTTCAGTGAAGAAAGGAGAATCTTGAATACATGATGCTGAGACAATTGGATGAACCCAGAAAGAAAAGAACTCCACCCGCTATGTCACACAACTTACAGAAACTAATTTGGTATGTACTAAATGTAAAAACAAACTATGAAGATGTAGAAGGAAACATAGGAAAGTATTTGTGCAACTTTGGCCTGGGTAAGGATTCTTTAGGACACAGAAAGCACTAGTATAAATAATGGTAATCTGTATTTCATGAAAATTCACCTGCCTTTTGTGCAAGAATAGAGGCTCCAGAAGGATAGGAACTTTGTCTTTTTCATCACTGTCTTCCTGATGTACTCCCAGCAGTTTTCCTGGCTCAGTCTTTGTTGAATGTATGAACAAATGAATGAATGTTCCTGTAGTTCCATATGAAGTGATAGTATACTCAATTATTCCTCTGTTTGGAGTTTGATTCTTAACTATGTAGACTAAAAATATGTAGTTTGGCTGAGCACAGTGTCTCATGTCTGTAATCCCAGCATGTTGGGAGGCTGAGGTGAGCCGATCATCTGAGGTCAGGAACTCTAGACCAGCTTGGCCAACATGGTGAAACTCCATCTCTACTAAAAATACAAAAATTAGCTGGGTGTGGTGGCAGGTGCCTGTAATCACAGGTACTCAGGAGGCTGAGGCAGGCAAATCACTTGTGACTGGGAGGCAGAAATTGCAATGAGCCACTATTGCACCATTGTACTCCATCCGGGACAAGAGCAAAACTCCATCTCAAAAAAAAAAATCATTTTATTCATGAAAGCACAGTAACCCTTTAATAAAACTGTGATGGATGAGGTTTTGGTTAATGCAGTCCCTCTTTTTGTTCCCTTTTCTTTTCTAGAATCCTCGTAGTCTTTTTTTTTTTTATTTCCCAATCAGAACTTGAAGAAGAGACCTAATAGCATCCCAGATGACAAGATTTTCCAAACACATTTGATTCATGTACCCCATTAGTAAAATATTTGTACATACTTGCCATAGAGGGACATTTATTTTGAAAATATATAAATATGTTACTATACTACTAGAAAATGAGATGTGCACAAAAATAATGTTTTAAGAAGATGAGGTGAAATTTCTAATGTTTTCTTCCTGCACTTCAGTGGATTGTTGCATATCACCCCTCCTCCCCATTTGTTCATCCCACTTTGAAGACACTGCCTTAGGGTAAATGCAAATACTATGTTTACGTATTTGTATATACATCAGGGTATAATACTGCCATAGTGTTAATACTTCTGCATTTTAAACATTAGCTCTGACTGGATTGAAAGACTTTGCTTTTTAAATCAATTTATATCATATAGTGCAAGTAGGGTAGAATTTTTAGGTCTGGGGTGTACTCTGAAGTCATCTCACCTAATTTTTACTGTATTTATTCTTAACATTATTTAATGATAGTTTTTTTCACTGAAAGATATGTAGAGTATTTTAGAGGGAAGCAATACTGAGAAAAGTGGGAAGGAGAAGGAATGGAAGTGCTATAGAAAAGACAATGCCAATTTTAAAAACAGTTAAGTACATTATAAACATTGACAACAGTACATTTGAATGAAATGTTGTCTTCTTGGGGGATTATAAAATACAGAAAATTAGCAGTATAATATGTCTAAACAAACTTTTCTCCTCATAATGGGGAAAAATCATTCTCAAATAAAAAGACAGTTTTTAAAGAAGCATCAATTCTATAATAGAGCAGCCTGAGACAGGTTTGGAGACTTTAAGCTGTGTTACCTCTGAGACCTAAAGGAAGCAGAACATAAAATAAGCCTCTATCAATTTGAAGCAAACCTAATCTTCATGATCACGGTCGTGGTCTAAATCTATTAAAGGTATTCAAATTCACTGTCCTTGGTATTGCTGTGGATTGACCTGAATAGTGAGCCATAAAGTTGTATATTATAATTCTGGTTGGAAGATACTTGCTTAGGAAGTGAAACCGACAGCCAGTGTTTTGTGTCTGTCTCTAAGCAGACTAAGAGCCTATAGAAAATGACAGATGCATTTTTAGGGAAAGAAACCCATAATGTTTTCCTATTTAGTAGGTGACAGTATGTCCCAAGATAACACAAGTTTAAGGGGCCGGAACAAGTATGGTTATTAAAGGCTAGCAGTTTCTCAGTTCATCGAAATTGAATTTTTTCATAGGCTAGAGGACTGTGGAAATCTAGTGTAGAGTACTGAAATAAATTAGCATATTAAGTGAATTTATATATTCAGGCTTCTGAGCACTTTGACTTTAAGGAAAAAATTTTATTAGTTCTTGAAAGAAAAAGACAATTCTTAAATTCTATGTCTGATCTTCCTGTTAAAAAGGGTGCATATGATAAATTACATCATTTTGATGATTATCCAAAGAAGTAGTCATTAAATTGATGGGACTCTTTCTGTCCTCTCTCCTCTATTTTTTCAGAATTACTGATTTAGGGAACATCAAACGAAGATTATATTTATCAACGGTCCATAAGGAACTATCCTCAACTCCTCTTCATGCAAAAATTCCACTCTTCATGATCAAACGTAAGATTGTAAGTATCATATGAATGTTGCCTAAATTATTAAATTCAATTCAGCAAATATTAATTATGGGCTGACTCCATATGTGAGACACTTTGTTAAATACCATGGTGGTATTAAAAAATGAATAAAATCCACAGCCTTCCTTCCCCTCTCTTGAAAGACCTTAACATTTAAGTGAAATAACATAATTATTTGAACACCTATAAAATCACCTAAACTGTGGTACAAAGCACAGTGGAGAGAGAAAGTGCTATTGGTACTATGAAAGGGGAAGGAATCCATCTGACTGGGGATGGGGGAAGGCTTTCTGAAGGAGATAGCACTTAGAGTGGACTTTGGAGGACTCTAAGATTTCAACAGGGAGAGAAAGGAAGCCAAGCATTCCAGCCGATGCAACAGCATGGGCAGAAGCATGGAGGCTGCAAAGAGGTAACCTCCCGAGAACAGCAAACAATTAATCATGGTTGCCAGGTTGATAGAGAGCCCTAAGGAAACATTGAGCTTACAGTACAAGAGCTTGATACAGGTTCAGAGATTGTAAGTATGTTGTGTAACTTCTGAAGGGCCTGATTTTCCTGACAAATCTTTGTCAAACTTTGATCATTCCAGCACTACTCTCAGTACCCTGTTTATGTACTACCCATTCTGAAATGCACTTGATACTTTCCTTTAAATCAGCTCTTTTTTTTCTCTTAAATTTATTTTTAAAAGAAAACTTTATATTAGTTTTGTAAATAGAAAACCAATGTAATTTTCCAAAAATACAACATAAAAATAAACATACTGAAAACAAATAATATTTTAAAGTATAACTGGGAATTGTTTCTTGTGTAAGGTTCTATCCTGAGTGCTGCTGTTTGTTAAAAAGAGTTTATCAAGGATTAGATACATGTTTGAGCATTCTCCCTGTCACAGTTAGGACTGAAGGAAAACTGATAAGGGGACATTTTTATTCCGGGATCCAGAGTTATTTAATGCCACACCCATATACCATCTAAAATCATTTCACAAATGGTATATGTTCCACTCTTTGGGAACTACTATGGTAGAGAAAAGGAAGCCATTAAAGCTTTTGGGCTAGGAAAGGACCACACAGTCACTTCTGTGCTTCAGGAAGATTAATCTGATAGTAATATTTGCAATGATTTGGAGTGGGTAGAAATTGGAAGTGAGGAAGCTATTTGCAGTTATCTAGATTAGGGTTAGTTAGGACTGGTTGGGGGGCGGTGGAGAAATGGATGTGAAGCAACATCAGAAACTTATAGTCAGATGAGCTAAGACATGTGTGTAAACAGACCTTTTCCGTAGAGTGTGGTACATTCTGTGAGAGCAGGAATCAGAATGAACTACAGAGTAAAAGGAGAGTGGTCAGAGAAGGCCCTCTGAAGAAGTGAGTGCCTGAGCTTGACCTTGAAAAACAGGAAGCATTAACCAGTTGGAGAAGGGGAGAGGAGTGCTTCTGGAAGAAAAGCAGCATTAAAGGTAGCTGTGTGAAGTGAACAGACAAGCCAAGTGATCTGGTGTTGCTGAAGAGAACCAAGGAGGTTCCAACAAGGGAGAATAGTTGAGAATGGAAGGTATTTAGAGAGCATGGTAATCATAAGTAACTTCAATAAGAAGTTCTGGTGTATTAGGAAAGAGACAGGGCCATGACTAAGAGAGTGGAAAATGCCAGCATTGAGTGCCTACTGACCATTTCTTTCAGTAGGCAGATCCACTGGGCTTGCCGTTCTTGTAGACATAAGAAAGAATGGGAATTAAACATAAATTTGGAGATTGGCAGCCCTGTAACAAAAATGAGCTGGATTATGGGATAAATGGATGGTTTCTGTTTACAGTAGAAGTTTTAAAAATTTGTTTAGTATTAAATATCCATAAATGCTTGAACATTAAATGGGAATACTCCAGTTATTGGAGTTAAACCATTTAAGACATTTAGGGAAACCTTACAAATAAAATTGTATTCATCCTTTTGTGTTTAGTTATTGATTTCCTTATTCATGTAAGATTGTTCAGAGTTCAGTATTAGGTGGTTTCTAAGAGTTAAAGCCCATGTGAGACAAATACACTATTCAGTGTGTAGTTAATAAATCATATTTGTCACTACCTTGCTTTTGTGAGTTCAGTCATGCTTGTCAGTTAACTAACTCTGAAGTCTAGATATTTCATCAAAATCTGAGCATTACGTATGTGGCTATAACCCCCACACACACTGTACAAACATGGAAATCCAGTATTTGAAAATTAAATATTATCTATTATAAGTAAATCACACAAGTATCTTGATGAGATAGGAAGTGAACTTGACTGAAAGATCTTTCATATTTGATAACTGAGTTTTTCAGATGAATATGTGTTATGTGTTAACAGTGCTGGGTAGGTAATGACCTAAACAATTTAGTATTTAAACTATAAAGAAAGGAGCTATAATGTTACCTATACCATTGTTCCTAAACCATGGAACAATGTTTCCTAACCCTTTAAAATTCATCTGCCTTCCTTATGTTTCTACCCCTGGGATAGTGGCTCAATTGCGATTAAAAAAAAAAACAAAGGAGAGGCCAGGTACAGTGGCTTACACCTGTAACCCCAGCACTTTGGGAGGCCAAGGCTGGCGGAGTTCAGGAGTTCAAGACCAGCCTAACCAACATGGAGAAACCCTGTCTCTCCTAAAAAATAAAAAATTAGCCAGGCATGGTGATGTATGCCTGTAATCTCAGCTGCTCAGGAGGCCGAGGCAGGAGAATCGCTTGAACTTGGGAGGCAGAGGTTGCAGTGAGCCAAGATCATACCATTGCTCTCCAGCCTGGGCAGCAGGAACAAAACTCTGTCTCAAAAAAAAAAAAAAATGTAGACAAGAAAGTTAATACGAAGAAATCATATTAGCGACTACTCTAGGTGACTTCAGCTCATGTTATGCTCAGTTTTAAACAGCAAAACCATCATAGCATATCTAGAACTTTCCTTCTGAATATGGATAAATCTAGAAAAAATTTGAAGCAATGCTAAACAATAAGAACCAGATAGGGCATTTGTTTCCATGGTGTTCTCCTCAGGCCCATATCCCAACCCAGTGAGATCATCAAGTCATAATTACTTGTAATATGTTCTAATTACTCTATATTTTATTACATATATAACATGTAAATAGTATATATAGGAGTTAAAAACATAGAATCTGGATTCTGACACTTACTAGTTTTGTGATCCTGTGCAAAGTTCCTGCTTCATTTTCTTCATCTATAAAATGCAGGTAATAGGAAGTGAGCATACCATTAAGGTTGTGGGGATTTGCATGAATTAATAAGCATAAAGCTCTTAGAATAGTGCCTGGCATAGAGTAAGCCCTAGATACGGTTTGTAAGTTCTTTTTTTTTTTTTTTTTTTTTTTTTGAGACGGAGTTTCGCTCTTGTTACCCAGGCTGGAGTGCAATGGCGCGATCTCGGCTCACCGCAACCTCCGCCTCCTGGGTTCAGGCAATTCTCCTGCCTCAGCCTCCTGAGTAGCTGGGATTACAGGCATGCGCCACCATGCCCGGCTAATTTTTTGTATTTTAGTAGAGACGGGGTTTCACCATGTTGACCAGACGGATTGTAAGTTCTATCTGATCTATAGATGCTCCTTCTTCCAGGAAACATACTATGATTTCCCCTCTTTGGATTAGATATTTTGGACATAGCTCATCATTGCTAATCATAACCCTCATAATATCTCTCCACCCTGCACTTTAACAATCTGTTTACTTGTCTTTTTTTCCCAGTAGATTATAAGAATATTATCTCCAGTCCCTATCAGTGCATGGCATATAGTAAGCGCTCAATAAATGTTTACAGAACAAATTGGCAAGTCTTAATGTATCTCCTGACATAGGAGAAAAAATAATGTGTTTATCATGGCCAAATTATATAAAAATTTTAAATATGCTTGGTGATTCCACAAATGCCCAGGAATATTCAAATATTAAGAAATTTGGTTTGAAAACTTGCTTTTATTCCTCCTAATCCAAGAGGTGCTTGGCAACAGAGGTCTTTCCTTTCCACTACTACTGTACTCTATTCCCAGTGAGCCCTTATTTAATTAAAGCTGACTTGTGTTTTAATGGAAATTTCCAGAAAGCAGCAAGGTGGCAGAGAGCATCTCACCCATTCAAGATGCCATCTCTAGAGGCCTTCCTGGTGTTGATATTGTATTGACCCCAGTTTTCTGTTTTTGCCAAAGCACTTGTCGCTTCTTTCTACCCCTTAGGAACTAGTGGATATTTTGTTGGCAGACCCCAAAACAGCATTCTAAAAGCATTTCAGCTAGCATTTATAAATTGGGAAATTTTATGTAAAATTCCTAATTTCAGACCTCCCCTGAAAAAAGTCAGATTTCTCAATATTGAACCTGCTTTATCGCATACAAGCACTTGGTGGGAGCTAAGTAGTAATGTCACATTTCTAAGAAGCTGTAAGCTCTCCTGTGAAGTTGAATCCTCTTTATTCATAAGGTATGCAAGTGGACTCAGACCCTTCTTGCTTCACCCATTTCAGTTTTCTGCCAGGGCCCTCTCGGTGTTCATCAGGAACCCTTGATTTACAGGATAATTGCCAAATGGTCCACTTCGCCTTGGTTTTTTTAGCTAAAGCCTTTAGGTAGCCCAAGGCTGCAAATAAAGTTAATATTCTTCTAGCCACACCAATATGAATATTTATGTATAAGCCATTTTATAAAACTGTCTTTAAGTGTTTAACCTTTCTAATAAAACATTTTATATTGCATGTTATTTTTAGCTGTGAGGAGTCACTTTAACATGTAAGTTATAACAATTTATGCTTTTAACTTGGGTTTTCAATGGCAAAATCAGTTTTAAAAATTAAAAACTATCAGATTAAATAGTAGAAGTACCCATTTAGTTGAGACTCACTGGAATCAATCTTACTACTATAATGTAATTTCAATTAGTTGATGCTGGTATCAGATGAACATCAGTGTCTCGTTACCAAAGTATGTATTAATGTACAGTAA